TACTACTACTACTACTACTACTACGACTACTACTACTACTACTACTACTACTACTACTACTCCTACTACTACTACTACTACTACTACTACTACTACTACTACTGGTACTGCTACTGCTACTGCTACTGCTACTGCTACTGCTACTGCGACTACTACTACTACCACTACTACTACTACTACTAATAATAATAATCATAGTAATAATAGTGATAATACTAATAATAATAGTACTACTAACAGCCAACAGCCTGAAGGAAAGTATCGGAAAACCCAAGCTCGTGCCAGAATTTCGCTTCCAAGGCTTGCAAGGTTCAGAACAGTATTTGGCCTGCCAGGCAGAACATGGAAAGAACTGCGCCGACTCGGTCTGGTCCAACTCAGGGTTTATAGGGTCAGGGTGGTGAATGAACCACGGAAAGAAGCAAGACCATATGATCACAAAAGCCTCAAACCCGGATCCCGAGACCCAAGCCGAATATCAACCCGTACCAATTGCAGGCTCGAAGGGCCGCCGGACAGCTGCTATCGTCGAAGGCCATGTCAGGTTCGAAGACGGCCAAAGCGCCGTCCACGGCCTGCACAGTCCCAGCCGGGGTCATGAGGAAACCCCGTAGATAGAAGAACCCCGACCCAGGCTACACTGAACCCCAATGATATGCTTTGTAAAGCAAGTCAGCTCGGCGGTTCTTCGGGTATCAAGCATACAAGCATTAAAAAGCCTCTGCTCTCCAGCAGCAGTTTACATCACCTTGCTGGGATTACAATATCGACCGGGAGCACGCAGGAGAAAACCGTCCAAAGCGCCTCTTAGCTGTTGTCGACCACGCTTCGGATCACCACTGCCAAATACACTGTTCTTTTCCCTTGCATCAGTGGTACATTGCAGAATTTTCAGGCAACCCGAGCCACAGAAGTCTCTCTACGTAGGATCTATTACACAATGTTTGGGCGATCGAGCGCGGACATGCTGGGGCAAATGTGAAGAGGTGGTTGCTCACGAACCGGTGCGTGGAGAGCTGCCTGGGGTGGCATGTAAGGCAGCAAAAGTTTCAGGGAATAGGGCCACGGTATGACTGCAGGCTCACACTTTAACTGTGGTACATCGATGATGGGACAAGGGTTTGGGTTTAAATATTCTCTACATTGAACGCCGTACAGTAGACAGTAACCACAAGCCGCAAGGCATGACACCAGAAGTGAAGCCTAATTTCGCCGTGAACTCCAGGCAGCAACCTAGATAGCAGGCACCTATACACCTCAACGTCCCTAAAGGATCCCCGAACCCAGAAGACCCAGCTGTGGCTCAATGTACCTGCGGCCAAAACGGGGTTAGCCCCGAAGTAAGGCGGTCATGCCCACTGTGTTATTAATGTTGTAGTGTAGGCTTTGGGCCGGCAGGTAGTTGCACGGTTTAGGGTTTAACGTTTATAGGCTGATTGAGCCCTGAATCCTCTAACCCGAAATCCCAACCAACAACCCAGCTGCCTCGACGCTCAACACCATATTCGCTTGCTCAACCTCTGTCGCCGGCCCTGGAGCAGCAAAACAAAGTGGAATTACGGGGTGCTTGCAGGAACATCATTCTCGCGGGGCTCAAACACACTTCTACGGAAATCACAGGGTGGAAGGGTGCAAGGTTGGGCTGAGCTATATTTTATCTACCCCGAAGAAGAGCTTAGACTCCAAAAGAAGAACTGTGAAAAAAGCATGCCCGCTGCTCTGCCTCAGCTTATCATGGAAAACAGAAATACACAAGGCCAAGCCTCGTTCGAGGACTCCAGCAACCAAAAAAAATCGCTCATCTCCACTCTACTCTGCAGCTTGAATCTGAAACTCTTCATCCTCAGCCCTGCTCTACCCATAGGCCCTTAAGTAGTTCCTTTCTGTGGTATATATATAGAACCCTATAAGGTAATCCCAAAAAGGAACTACTAAGGAGCCTATGGGTAAGTCCTCAAATGCATCCTGAATGCCTTCGCCCTAAACCCTGCTCTGCCCAGCGGCCGCACGTCAGGAGGGCAAAGTGCCAATCGCGGGCATAGGTCTCCTGGAGAAGAAGACTCATTAACCCTAACGCCCCAGGTACCTACTATATAGGGTACTAGAGCCCCTATACTATAGGGCTCTATATAGTAGGTACCTGGGGGCAAAGGGCAAGCTAAAATCCCCAAATCTGAAACCATTAAACCGCTTCATGTGGAAGATGAAATTGGAACATCATTCTCCCTGTCCTCAGACGAGACACGAACTTAAGAAGGGTATCTCGGATTGAGAAGCCACGACTCTGTAGCGCTCCAGCCTTGTCACGTGTTGGTTGGTGAAGAATCAGATCCTATGCACAGCCTGATGGGACTTGGGGTTTTGTAAACCGAAACCACGCATTGGGATTCTGGGAACGGCATCGGTGGTAGAATGCCAGCTGCGCCAACAAAAGATCGTGCAAAGGACGGCAAGGCCACGGCGCGGTGAAATGCCGATCAATGACAACAAGTGCTGAATGGAAAAAGCACACATGAATCTCAAACCCTGGACCTTGAACCGGGAAAGCTTGACCTCAAAAACCTCTAACCTTCTAACCTCAAGCCCCGGTCCTGGTGCACGTCCACGCGGAACCAATATTGAAACTGGCCCAACTTACGCACCTGGGAATTTCTTTCAACTAGCGCACTTGGGGTTTGGGGGGGCAGGGGTTCCACAGTCTTCAGTATAAAACCTGCGACTATCTGACTTGCGCCCTCGGCCCTTTATATACATAGCCGATTGCAGGAGGGGCTTTTCGAGCTGAACCTCGACGTCCGGGTCAATCTTCACGGGGCTCTCAGAAGCACTCAAAACCGATGGCTCTGTAGGGCCAGAAAGGAAATCACAATCGCGAGTTGCCATCATCTAGACATTCAGATTTGCTGAAACCCCGGGCCTCCAACCCAAAAACCCACAGAAATCGGCCACACATCAAACACTACCGAGGAAAACAAGCAAGACAAATGTTTCGATGCCTCCATGAAAGCCCTCAAAGCTTGTCCCAGATTCTGAAGATGTTCAGACCTCAATTCCTCGCGGCATCGCCAGAAGGATGAATCCGAAGGATCGACACCTCTAGCACAGCCATGCCAATAAAAGAATGTCAGTCCACAAATCGGAGACCTCAAATCAACACGAAAGCCCAGAAAGTTCAAAACCGAAGTGAGCAAACCTGTGAAGCTTCAACTTTTGAGTGTGGCACCCAACAACTAAACACGCCTCAAGCTTCAAGTGCAGGTTGGGGAGAATTACCGAAGACTCCGCTTTCTAGCACAGTTTAGGGTTCGGGCTACCCAGACACTAACTCTGCGACCCCTCCAACACCATGATCGAGACACGCCTAGCAATGCTTCCCAAACGCCCAGCAACGGCTGGTTGGCCAAACGATTCTGATACTTAGTATACCGCAATATACCCTTATGGTACCCCCTGTAGATCCCCTTGCATAGTACACTCAATAACCTTCGGAACGACCCACACCGTAACCTTTGTCAAGAACATGCACAGTAATCCTAAATCCAAACCTACACCTAAAACAAGTAACCAACAACCCTCAAGCCAGAACCTTCAACCCTTGCAGTACCCAAAACCTTCTCAACCCTAATAGAGATGAACAACTTGTAGAAACTGGTGGCCCTTGTCGTATTGTCGAAATCCTTATAAACCCGTTTAATCGCAATCTCACATCCCGTGCTGCCCCAGAGGCCCAGGTGGCAGCCTGCAGCTTCTCCTCGCAGGACTTCTCGCCCCAGTGGTCCTTGGGCTTCGTTTTTTTGCTTATGGGGGATCTTACAAATATGTATTCATAGCTATGCTTGCAAATAGACAAAAACAACAGCGAATATGAATGACTGAATGACTGAAAAACAAGTAACTAAGTATGTGTGATATGTTTGTCTGTACGTATGTACGTATGCATGTGTCTCCACATATGTACGTATTTATGCATCTGTACATCTTCATACTTACGTAGACCCCCTTTCCTGAAACCCGAAACCCGTCCTTCACAGCTCCCCAGCTCTCGGGACTGGCATCGAAGGCTGCTAGCACCTGAATGAGTTTGGTCTGTTTAGGGCTTGGGGAATTATGGGTTTAGGGCTTATAATTTCTAAGCTTTCTTTACGCTCTCACGACTCGGACATTCTAAGCTTTCTTTAGGTTTTAGGGGTTAGGGCTTAGGGATTGAATTCAGTGAAGGCTTTCCAGGGTTTTTAGAGGTGTAAGAGTTTGGTAGCCAGGATTTTGGAGAGGCTATTAGTGGCGGCATATTCTAAATCCAACACATGAGGGTGTTATGTTCCTTATTAGGTAAGGTTTTCTTGGTTTAGGACTTCAGGGTTGAGGAGGGATGAAGTTCGGCAACAGGGTCGGAAAGAAGATGCCACCATTTAACTACACCGTTAAGGTTTCAACCATAAAAGCAATGATCATTAGGATACCATTTGGTCGCATTGGTCGGCGATGGCAGTAGTCCCAATTGAAAGAGAAACCTTTAAAGGAGTGTGTTGCCTTGGACTTGCTGATCCGGAAAGCAAAGTAGGACCAGGGTTAGGGGACACTTCCACAGCCCTTAAGGCCCTAATTAGGCCCCAAGGCCCAACTGAAGGGGTCCAGGGCACCACGGGGCCGTTCTTCTCCAGTGGCTTCTTGCCATCCCACTGCACATGGATCCAAAGCTCTCCCACCTGAATAAAACGGCTTTGCGCTTGAAAGTTTGGGGCCTCGATGCCTGCAGGAGGTTATGTGTAAGGGTTTCGGCTCCAAGGCAAATCAAAGCTCTCCCACCTGTAAGCTTCTCCTAAATAAAAACCAATAGGCTCTTCAATCTAGTGTTTGTTCTCTTGCTGTCCATCTGAATCTGATGTTCCCCAGATGGCCACCCAATGATCACAGAGATCTATCGCATCTAGGAACAAAGATGTTTCAAATCTGTTGCAACGATTCTTGCGACTCCGAAGCTTCGCCACCGTCTAATTTCTAAGGCTAAACACATTGGGCTAGAGGCTTGAGGGGCTTTTAGGTCTTGCGGCTTTCTCAAGGTTCAAAACTCGAGCTTGCAGGCAGGCTAGCCACAAAGCTTTCAAAGGGTCGCCCTGCAATCAAGGAAGAAGCTGTCACCAAGGTTCTGGGGAATCTCGGAGTTTATATTATATGCAAAACTCTGACCATGGAAGGCTGAACCGGCCCAGAAGCTCCAGACCCCACAGAACCGTAAGCCTAGGCTACTAGACCTCTACATGCCGGAGGCCCACCCCGACTCTAGGGGCCTGAACCAATAGAATAGGGCTTCCGTGCACATCGTGGTATAGTTTGAGAACAACAGCAATGATATTGATAGTCAGGATACGGGATTAATAAGGAGCTCTAGGGAATAATATGGATGATCATCTAGGCTGCTACACTATGAACCTGAAGCCCTAAGCCCCAAGCCATCCAATTTCGCAGCCTTGGTGTCGTTGCCGCTGTCGCTATTGGCATAGCCGAAGCAGAAGCCCCCCAAGTGCCTCAGACTAGGCAGGGTTTGGGGGGGAGAGTTTAGAGTTTAGGGGTTTGGGGGGGTTTAGGGTTTTAGGGTTTAGGGTCTTGAGCAATCTCACCTCCGAAATGAACTTCGAAGCAGTGTCCTTCGGAAGTGTAGGGCGGGTTGGATTCTGAAGCTGGCGGGTCCGTTCCTTCTCAAAAGGCATTCCCTTATTAGGGCCCTTATAGAGACCCTTATAGATCCCTTTAAGGAACCCTGTAGTTTCAGGGTATATGAACAAAAAAGCAGGTATCCAAACACGGGTAATCAGACTTGCAGTCTGTGTAGTTTGGGTGTTTGGCAGAGTGAGGAGTTGGGCCACCCCTAAGCCAGCTGGTGCCACAGCTCCTGCCAAAGGTGATTCGAGGATGTAGAGCTTTGGTGTATCCTTTGTATTCAATTTTCAATTCCGACTCCTCAAGAATGTTGGTGGCTGAACTGTGGGAGCAAGTGGCGCTTTTACCATGCTCCAAGGATCTGCACTGCGACAACCAACCGCTCTGTGACAAAGTAGCATTAGGATCATGCACACCTGCAAAAACGGCAAGCAACAGAAACTCAAGGTTTACGAGCTTTGGGCCTACACCAGGTTGTTGTGTTTAACTCGGCCCGCCCACTATCCTCTATTGTACGACCTAAACTAAGCTTCTACGGACTGAAGAACATGTCACATCATGTGCCAGCAAGGATGAGGAATTAGGGATTTGCTTCAAGCTCTGGGTCAAAAGAAACCTGTGCTTGAACCGATGATACCTGAAGCAGCCACGTTGCCAAGAGCTTTGAGGAAGGAGAGTCATGTTCGCCTGACGGGCACGTTGGGCTTCGGGGGATGCGGGCGTTACTTGGGCTGAAACAGCCTGAGCCTCCGTGGTTGACCCCTTCGAGGGTGCCATCTCTTTATGGGGTGATGTGCGTGCCGAGCAACAAAGATCTCGTCGCATTGTCATGCTATGATGACATCCCCAACCCTCGTAAAGAGTACTTCATGTGTTTGGGTCTTAGCCGTTAGGGTCATGGAGCTTTCGGGCTTGTGGTTTCAGGGCTTTGCTATCTAACTTCGGGATGTTGGGTGCACATTCACGCAAGTCCGCCCTTCTCCGAGAACCACTTGAACCTCTGAGGTGGAGAATTTGCCGTTGGGGAGCAGCCTTTTGCTCTCAACCGGAGCTACCCCTGAACTCAGAAGCTTGCTGCTGCTCTTCTGCCACCTCCAGCCGCACTGCGGATTGAAAGCCGCCATGGGCCAGAGCCACGGCAAGCAGCGGGCAGAAACGGAGCACGAAAGCCATTGGGGGCTGCATACCCGGCATGAGCCCTAAGCCTAAATCACACTGGAGCCCTGACAAAGGTGGTGATCATTGAAAGTGGTCGTGCTTCTCTTGGCATGTTTTTTTCGACTTCCGTCATCCTGAAATCCTGAAGCATCCCATATATCATATATCAGATAACATACTCCCGCATACCTGTCTCACTGCGTGATGCGGTGCTGTGTGCCGGCTTGCGACAAGAGAAATACCTCATCTAGCGACTACCTGAGCCTAATTTTCCTGCACACTCATGGGCATCAGGGCTTGTAATTATCGGGGTTCTGATTTTTTTTTGTGACGTTTAGGGCTCACGGCTTGCCATGAATTTTGGCGTCTCACTGTAGGAGGCAGGTTGTGGGTTGAAGGGTTTACGGCCTCCTGATTCCTTTTCCGTCATCTTGCGAAGGCCCACCCAATGCTTAAACAAAGTTTGGTCTGGCGGCTGCCACCATAAACAACAAACCCTTAAAGCCTTCGACAATGGGGCTCTGGGGCACCCAATCAACAACAAAAACCCTATACTATAATACGATAGGGCCCGATAGGGTTTAAGCATAGGGCTTCCGTGGACTTCCAGTGACTTCCAGTTTGAAAAGCTCATAGGGATCTATTTTTGGGTCTTTGGGCTTTTGCAGACTGTGCGATGGGTTCACACGGGGCTTGTCAAGGCGGTCACTGAGTGCGACAGCTCAGCGACTGCCTTTTCAAGGGTTCACTGCACTGTATCCCAGGGCCTTGGGTGGTCTGCCCATAACGGTTTGGGAATATGGCGGCGAAGTCGTATGGAGCTTAACATCGTCTGGTGTTGGAGTCGAGCCCTTGCCCCAAAATAATTGGGCTTCGCATCTCTACCTTTTATGTGATCAGCCGCTTGACAGCATCTTCAGGGTTAGAGGATTAGGGTGATTAGGGCTTGGGGCTGCCACAAAAACCCTGAAACCAATCGCTTTCCAGCACGGAGAGAGGTGCACTTGCCTCGTCCACAGGTGCTCCGATCAAGACCCCGGGACCATGGTGGTGGTAGCCTGGCCAGGCCAATCATACAACCAACAAACATCTAAAGTACCATCTGGAGAGCATTTAACTATGTGTGTATACATTCATTAATCCATTCGTTCATACATAACATACATACGCCAGAATAGGCTGGCATCGGAGTCGACTACAGGAACTGCGGAAAATCAGCATTCCAAAACCTTGTAACACTTGCGGGACATTGGAGCTTCCGCGACATAATGCAACTGCCTTTTTTTTTGGGGGGGGAGGGGGGGTAAAAGCGCATATATATATATAAACCCTTTTACCTAAACCCTATATAGTTTGGGCGAATCTTAGGGTTCTGGCTTCCCGCTACACCCATAGCCAGGCCCCAAGAACCTTAAGCTCCCTGCCCCAATCAGCCGGAGCCATGCCACAACCAAGCCGTCCAGACCAGACTCACTGGATCGAACTTCGAGGCTTAGGGTTTGGGGTTTAGGGTTTAGGGCTTAGGGTCTAGCTTGGAAACACTTTACCTACTATATAGGGTACTAGAAGCAAGCATAGGCTATGGTTGATTTGGGGTGTGCTTTCAGAATGGGTTGAAAACCATAGGGGGGAGTATTGCATTTGAGATGTGGGGCCATGCCGAAACCCAGATCACAAGCAAAACAAAACAACCTCACCAAAACCAAAAGCACAAACCAAAACACAAAGCACCTACAAACTCAGCACCAA